GTTTTGTTGTTGTTTTGGGGGAATGGGGATGCTTTTTCAAGACAGGGTTTCTCTGTGTGGCCTTGGTTGTCGTGGAACCAGCTCTGTAGACCAGGCTGGTTTCTGACCTGCCTCTGCCTCCCAAGTGCTGGGATTAAGTTATGTGTCACCACCGCCATCCATCCATCCATCCATCCATCCATCCATCCATCCATCCATCCATCTATCTATCGTCTGTTACTACTTATTTGCTAGGTACCTGGGGAGGCTAGCAGGGGGCATTTGATCTGGGATTCAAACCAGATTTCTCTACAAGAGCAACAAATGTTTGTAACTGCTGACTATCTTTTTTGCCTTATTTGTTAATTTTTATACATTATTTATCTGTATGTGTTGAGGTCAGAGGACAACTTTCAGGAGCAGTAGGTTCTCCTTGAATGTGGGGTCTCCTCAGGAATTAGGTATCTACTTCCTCCATGGGTTCTAGGAACTTACCTCGGGGCTCCAGGTTTGCACAGCGAGTGATTTTACCTACTGAGCCATCTCAGCAGCCCTCTCTTTCCACTATACTTCATTTTAAAAGGGTAGATCTAAACCAGACATACAGAATGGAAAGTCCAAAGAACTGAGAGTGTTGATTGTAGAGAAAAGAAGCCACCAGGACCAGGTCCTGTCTCCATGGTTTATAAAGAACTTCCAGAGGAGACAAATATGCTCACCTGCAAGATAGGTCAGCTGGCCATGCTGTGTGCAGGCAGCAGGGATCAAAGCATGACAGTTGTCCACATTCTCACTTTTCCTGTCTCCTCATTCTAGTGAGTTCCTAGTTCTAGTGTAGCCTGTCTCCTCACCCCAGCCTGGCAGTCTTACAGAGCTGTCTGTGTGCCTTTCTTACAGATGAGGATGGCTAAACAAATGCCCTGGCCCTGCCAAGAGCTGGTCAGGAGGTTGTTGTTTGCGGTGGCTAGAGCGGGGTCTGCAGTGGGAATCTGCCTGCCAGGCGGCTAGTGCCACACCAGATGGAGAATTCTGGCCAGGCTCTGTGGATTTAGGAAGCTGAAGTTTTTGAAACTGGCTTGTATGGGTCCTCCAGTTGAGCTCAGAGTGTGGGCCTGCAGAGACTCTGAGTGTCTCAAAGGTGTCAGTTCTTAGACAGCCAGCAGGCAGTTCCCTCTACTGGCACTTTTGTTCCTGGAGCTACTGGTTATAATGTGGCTGAGCCTCCCTTCTCAGGCATCAGCTTTAGGCAGTTCAAGAAAACTATTCTCTTCTGCCCCTAGAGTGATCTGGGCAGTAGAGAAAGCTAGAGGTATCTTTGAATCTTTCTGTTGCATTGAAACTATCAGGTCCATGAAGGGCTTTCTTAACTGGCTGCATTTTGGAGGGTAGGGGAGGGAGTCTGGACCAAGTATGGTTTCTGGCTTTGCTGAGCAAGTCCTTCTTTCCCTTGGAACACTGAAATATGCTGGAATAGACTCGGACTTCTTCTGTGGGCCTGCCTTTGGAGACCCAGCCCCAGACATTAATGTCAGTTTCCATTAGCCAAGCTCCAGAACAGGATGGAGGAAGGGGTGGCTTCTGACTGTTGAGTTCCCTAGGAAGGCCAGCTGTCTTTTCAAGCCCTTCTAGTTGGTTGCAGGAAAGTAGGGCAACGTAATGGCCTGCGACCAATAAACCCACAGGCCTGGCACTAACTCCCATCTTATCTCATCCTGCTGCTTGTGACTCCAAAGGCTTTTTGGATCCCATGGGGAGCATTGAGCTATATGCCTTGCCTTTCCAGAAAGCCATCGATCTGGTGACAAAAGCCACAGAAGAGGACAAAGCCAAGAACTACGAGGAGGCACTCCGGCTCTACCAGCATGCTGTGGAGTATTTCCTCCACGCCATCAAATGTGAGTCATTCTTGGGGTCACCTGGCTGCAGTGTCCTGGAAGAAGAAGGCAGGCACATGGGGCTCAGGGAGGCCACTGGGTTTCTCCTTTTGCAGATGAAGCACACAGTGACAAGGCCAAGGAGAGCATTCGAGCAAAGTGCATGCAGTACCTAGACAGAGCGGAGAAGCTCAAGGATTACTTACGAAACAAAGAGAAGCATGGCAAAAAGCCAGTCAAAGAGAATCAGAGTGAAGGCAAGGGGTGAGTGTCCTGGAGTGTCCAGCTCATGGGGCCAGAGTCCCCAAGTACATGTTCCTTTTTCATGGGCTTGCTGTCATTCTTTTTGTTTTGTTTTTTTGGTTTTTTTTGAGACAGGGTTTCTCTGTGTAGTCCTGGGTGTCCTGGAACTCACTCTGTAGACCAGGTTGGCCTCGAACTCAGAAATCCGCCTGTCTCTGCCTCCCAAGTGCTGGGACTAAAGGCGTGCGCCACCACTGCCCGGCAGTTGCTGTCATTCTTGATGCTAAAGCTGCCTTGGACTTCTATTGCACCCTTTTTATGGGGCACGTGTCTACTTGTGATAAAAATACCAGCAGCTGCTTTCATTAAGCAGAAAAAAGTGTTTGATTTCCCAGAATGAAAGACAGATTAGGGGGCTGGAGAGATGGCTCAGTGGTTAAGAACACTGACTGCTCTTCCAGAGGTCCTGAGTTCAAATCCCAGCAACCACATGGTGGCTCACAACCATCCGTAATGAGATTTGATGCCCTCTTCTGGTGTGTCTGAAGACAGCTACAGTGTACTCATAAGTAAAATAAATAAATCTTTAAAAAAAAAAAAAAAGAAAGACAGATTAGAAAGGGACAGGAGACAGGTAACCAGGAGGGTTTGAGGATGGAAAAGTGAAGGCTGGGCAACAGCTGGCTCTTGGCATGAGAGCACAATCCCCCTTTAACAATTTTTGTTTTGTGTTGTTTTGAGACAAGATTTCATTATGTAGTTTTAAATTTATTAACTTTATTTAATTTTAAACTTCATGTCTTCTTTGCCCTTTGAATTCTCTGGAGTGGCGACTCCATGTTGTCTGTTTTTGAGTTCATCTGAAAAACCTCTGATAGTTACACTGGCTTGACTTGGTGTTAAGTTCAACTGAAGCACACTGCCCTCATTAGCCCTTAGGAAAAGGCCAATCTTACTCCTTCAGTGGAGACTCCAGAATGAGTTATGAATGGTTTCTGAGGGAATGTGGCACTCACATTTAGATAGCTCTTTGCTTGTCCCTCACCAGTACTGAGCCAGCAACACTCACACAAGTGCACATGCACAAGTGCACACACACATGAATAGGCACATGTGCTACTAGAGCTGGCCTCACTCACAGAGCCTCCTTGCTCCCATAATGGAGGGCCAACTTGATCTTCTGTTTCCTTTCTTAGTAGTGACAGTGACAGCGAAGGGGATAATCCAGAGAAAAAGAAATTACAAGAACAGTTGATGGGTAAGAGGCCTGAGGCCCATGGTAATAGAAGGGGTGTGGCATGGGTTCTTTTTCCGTCTATTTGTGTTCATGGGTCAGTCTGGGGTCCTCCTCCTTGCAGGTGCTGTTGTGATGGAGAAACCCAACATACGGTGGAATGACGTAGCTGGGCTGGAGGGGGCTAAAGAGGCTCTCAAAGAAGCTGTGATTTTGCCAATTAAATTCCCACACTTATTCACAGGTAAGAATGTAGCATGATGCATATCTTTGATCCCAGCATTTAGAAGGCAGAGGCAGGTGGACCTCAGAGTTCAAGACCAGCCTAGTCTACAGATTAAGCTTGACAATAGCCAGGGCTATGCGGAGAAACCCTGTCTTAAAAAATAAAAGTAGAATGTAGTCACTAGCCCAGGTATAAAACTACCAGCATGAGGAATCTAGCTTGGGGTTCTACCCTCAGCATCTCAGAACAGGTGGTAGGTAGTCTCAGGAGACAGCTCACAGAGGGTAGATTCTGGTCTTGCTGTCTGTTGTGTCTGTCCTGCTCATCACAACCATCTACCATGTGACTTGTTGGGCTGTCTGTTTTTTCCTTTTGCTGGGATAGAACATGGGACCTAGGCAAGCACTATACCCCTGAACCTGACTCTGATGTTTTTGTGAGCTGGAAATATAGCTTGAATGGTAGTTCTACCATGTGTAAAGCCCTGGGTTTTGTTCTCAGCATCACAGAAATTGGATAGGGTGTCATTCCTGTGGTCTCAGCACTTGAGAGGCAGGGTGATCGTAAGGTTGGGGCCATTCTTGGCTAAATTATGAGATGCATAAGACTTGAACTTGGAATAGACCATCTCAGTGAGCAAGCAGAGTCAGGACCCAGAGCTGGCCAATTCCCTTGTCAAGGACAAGGTAAGATGAGGTCTGAGTTCCCAACAGGTGTTTGGTTCTCTTGGAAAATCAGTAGTTTTTATGGAACTCTCTCTTCTTGAAGTGACTGTGACTAAAGGCTTTTTACACTTGACTTTTTACGTATATTTTACAACCTTGGTTTGAGATTTATTTTATTTGTATTGGTGTTTTTCCTGAGTGGTATGTCTGTGTACCATATTTGTGCAGTTGTCTTGAAGGCTAGAAGAGTGCTGGATCCCCCGAAACTAGAATTACAGTTATGACCTGCCTTCTGAGTGCTGGGATCAAACCCAGGTCTTCTGGGATAGTATTCAGTGCTATTAACCAAGCCATCTCTCCAACCCCACAACTTGACTGTTGTATGTGTGGTATGTTCATGTATAATTATATATGTGTTCCCATGTGTGGGGATGCATGTGTATGTACATGTATATGGAGGTCAGAGGATGATGGCAGGTGTCTTTCTCGGTTGCCGTTCACCATATGACAGAGACCTGGGGGTTGCAGGGGGCAGGGAAGCAGAGCTAATACTTAACCCCAATACTTGATGATTCAGCTTGTCTGGCCAGCTTACTCTAGATCCCCTAGCTCTACTTTCCAAACATGGGGGTTACATGCAGGCCACCACTCTTGCCTGGTATTTCAGGTGCCAGGAGCTGTACTTTAGTACTCATGCTTGTAGGACAAGCATTCTCCTGCCCTGCCTTCAACTTTTCAACTTTCCTTTGTTCCTTTTTCACCATCAGGAAACAGCTGAGTTCTGTTCATTCTTTATTACAGGCAAACGCACTCCTTGGCGAGGTATACTACTCTTTGGGCCCCCAGGCACAGGCAAGTCCTACCTGGCCAAAGCCGTGGCAACAGAAGCCAACAACTCCACCTTCTTCTCTGTGTCCTCCTCGGATCTGATGTCTAAGTGGTTGGGGGAAAGCGAGAAGTAAGTCAGCCATCAGCTATGCTACAGCAGCCTTGGCAGCTGCTGGTAGTCCAGCTTCCTGGCCCCTTGGAAATCACTTCCCAGAGGAGCTGCTGTTGGATAATCAGGGGTAGTAGTCAGAACAGGCTCTTACTTCTTGAGATGCTGTCCTGATACATATATATCTGGGAACTTGGAAATGATGAGGCACCCCTGTAATCCTAGCACTCAGGATACAGAGGCAGAAGGATTGATTACAAGTTCAAGGTCCGCCTGTTCTGTGTAATTGGACCTTGTCTCAAAGCAAATAAAAAAAGAAAGGAGCTAGAGAGATGGCTCAGGGTTCAAAGGACCTGGGTTCAACTCTCAGCACCCACAACATTCAGTTCACTTCTGTAATTCCAATTCCAGAGAATCCAACACCCCCATACAGACATACATACAGGCAGAACACCAATGTAAGTAAAATAAAAATAGGGAAATGAACCAATTTTAAGTATGTATCATTTGTTTTCTTTTTGGTTTTATGAGACAGAATCTCACGTACCCCAGGCTGGCTACGATCTCCATCAGTAGCAGCAGAGGCTTACCTTGAACTTCTGATTCTCCTAACACTACATCCTCAGTTTTGGGGTAACAGACATGTGTCACCACATCTGTAGTCAGCTGTATATCCTCTTTGGGGGCATTTCATGGGTTTAGCTTATTCCTCAAGATGACCTCCGTTCTTTGATATGAATCTGAGGCTCAGAGAAAGGCAAAGAGCTAATGAGTGGGGCTCCTCTCCCAAAATTTGAGGCTGATGCCAAGATTCACTACTGTTTGGGGACTTGTCTGCAGCGCTGTTTTTCCTGTTCCTTTTTTTAAAAAAAAAAAAAAAAAAAAAAAGCCTTCCTGTGGGAGAGGCACCAGGGTGGGCATGTTTGGGTGGAGTGTCCAGGTCTTGACCCCTTTCTTATTCCCACAGGCTAGTCAAGAACCTGTTTGAGTTGGCCAGACAGCATAAGCCTTCCATCATCTTCATTGATGAGGTGGATTCCCTCTGTGGGTCACGGAATGAAAACGAGAGTGAGGCTGCCCGAAGGATCAAAACAGAGTTTTTGGTCCAGATGCAAGGTGTGTGCTTGTGTTTTGTCACTCTTTGGCCGGCTTCTACCTAAAGGCAACCCAGGGCTCCATGATGTAGCTGCACTGGGCACAATGGGGGAGAGGGTTCCGAGGCCTTGTCATGTCGCCTTCCCATTCCTCTGAACAAGTGGTGCTGTAGGTCTCTACCCAGGGAAGCCCCAAGATGGTTTAGTTTCCCATGGGGTCTGGCTGCTCCTGCTGGCATCTTCAGTCACTTGTCTCCTATTCTCCACAGGAGTGGGAAATAATAATGATGGGACTCTTGTTCTTGGTGCCACAAACATCCCCTGGGTGTTGGATTCAGCCATCAGGAGGAGGTAAGTCTCCCCTAGAAGGAGTCTGTTATCTTTGTCTAGCTCTATGGTCAGTTTGTAACTAGCCATCTGCCCCCATTTCTCTAGAATCTTCCCAAGTCTGCAAGTCAAGCAGAGCCCTTTGGTAAAGCTGGGTATTGGGCCTGGATCACTCATTTCAGCATGCATGCTCCCTTCCCACCACTCTGCGATCAGCTCAGCTTTCATGTCATGCATCTTTCCAGGTTTGAAAAGCGAATTTATATCCCATTGCCAGAGGAAGCAGCCCGTGCCCAGATGTTTCGGTTACATCTGGGAAGCACACCTCACAACCTCACGGATGCTAACATCCATGAGCTGGCCCGCAAGACAGAAGGCTACTCAGGAGCAGATATCAGCATTATTGTGCGGGACTCCCTCATGCAGCCAGTCAGAAAAGTACAGTCAGCAACACACTTCAAGAAGGTGAGTGGCAGCAGTGGCTTAGGCAGTGTTAGCAGTCAGGAGGTGTGAGTAGCCTCTTCAACAACTTTCTGGCTGTTCAAGGGACATTCACTGTGGGAGAACCGGTACCATTTTGCTCTAGGACTGGAGCAGTACACATCCTGCCTGCCATTACTGCTGGAGTATAATGCTCTTCAGCTATAGGAAACAAGATAGGCAGGCAGCATCATGCTGGAGGGCAGAGTGCAGACAACCAAGCACTTCCATTGTGTCAGACACAGTAAATGGAAGGGGGACTTCCCAATCATTCAAGCTGATTGTCTGCTGTGTGGGTCGTGCTGTTTGCCAGCCCTGTCCTGCGTGTATGGAAGACAGTAATGGAGACAACTTATGAGAGAAATGCTAATTCTCCTTTAAATAGTGGGTACCTATCAGCAAAGTGGAGTCATCAGGAGTCTCAGAAGTTGGAGGGGCGAGCAGTTTGCTCTATTAGAAGACAAACCACGCTGAGCAGTGGTGGTGCACGCCTTTATCTCAGCACTTGGGAGGCAGGTGAATTTCTGAGTTCAAGGCCAGCCTGGTCTACAGTGAGTTCCAGGACAGCCAGGGCTACACAGGGAAACCCTGTCTCGAAAAACAAAACAAAAAAAAGATGACAAACCATGCTGGAGTGACCTGAGCCAATTCATGAGGATTTGGTATGCTTAGTATGTTTCCCCATTGCAGGAGACTTCAGTGAGAGGAACATTTTTGCTGCAAGTACATTTATGGGATGAATCTTGATGGCATTATTGTGGAAGATGAAACATTTGGGGCTTCAGGAAGATCTGGAGGCCAACAGCTGGAGGATCATATTGTCCAATCACCTCTGAAACCAGATCATTCCTCTTGGACCTCTTTTATAGTTGTTGTGTACACGTGCACACACATAGAGGTCTTAAGGAGTTCTCTCCTACTATGTGGATCTGGGAGATCCTATTCAGATCATCAGGCTTGGTCTGATGCCTTTACCTGCTAAGCCATCTTACTAGCCCACGTACATTTATTTCTTAAGATGGTTCAGTCCAGAACAATCTCAAACTCATCCTATAGTTGAAGATGACCTTGAACTTACACATCCTGTACTTGCTAAGTGCTAAGATTACAGGTGTTTGCCAAGGTTTCTTTTTGACTTGTTTTAAATTCTGTGCGGGTAGAGAGGCAGTATATGAAGGTTCCACAGCATGTTTTAGAGGTAAAAGGACAACTTTGTGATGGAACTCAGGTAGCCAGATTTGCATACCAAGCACTGACTGAGTCATCTTTCCAGCCCTCAGACTATTTTTAAGGTGCTTCTCCCTCCTCCAACTTTGATGACTAGAGCCTCGGTGTTCCCTTCAGCCATCCCTAGGTCCTGATGTACCCACTAAACAGCCAGCCTCATGCTTGGTCTCTGCTTGGTTTCAGGTTTGTGGCCCTTCTCGAACCAACCCTAGTGTTATGATTGATGATCTTCTGACCCCATGTTCTCCAGGAGATCCAGGGGCCATAGAGATGACTTGGATGGATGTCCCTGGTGATAAACTCTTAGAGCCTGTGGTCTGCATGGTAAGTGACCCACTGCAGAGAACCACAAAGTCCAGAATAAAGATACACATCTTCCTATTGTCCTGGCTCACAGCCGCCCCCCACCCCCCAGCCTTTGGGGTTGTAGGTAGCTGGGGTTCTTGCTGAGACCCTGAGGGTCTTTAAGAGGAAAAGAAGTAAAGTCAAGCTACTAATTATCATTCCAAGGCCTGGCTTTTTGGTTCAGAAGGAAGCCGGTGAAAATCTTTTTTCACATGGCTCTTACCTGAACAGTCTAGACCTCTCCTAGAGGAGCTCCTAGCTGCAGCACCTAGTCTCTCCCGGCAGCTGTCTGCACTGTGGAGTGAATTCAGTAACGGAACTACTGCAGGGATGGCATGGGAGCTGTAGGTGAAGTAGTTTTTCAGATGGAAGGCAGGCCTCTTGTCAGTTAGATAGCATGACAAAAGAGTGCTGAGGCCCTGGAGTCAGCCTTTCTCAGCTGCATCCTTGTCTCTGCAGTCGGACATGCTCCGGTCTTTGGCCACTACCCGGCCCACAGTGAATGCAGACGACCTCCTGAAAGTAAAGAAATTCTCTGAGGACTTTGGACAGGAGAGTTAAAGCTTCATGTTGATAATGAAATTGGGAGTTTGACTGGAGCAAACTGATGGGACTTCCTACACCAGTGGCCAGGCAGGGCCTGAAGTCGTGAAGTCAGTAGTATTCCCTCACCTGCCTGGCTGCCAACCTAGTAGGATGAAGGAGGGGCCTCCGCAGCTGCAGAGATGCTTCACCATGTAGGACACTTGACACTGGCTCTGCATACTTCACTACTGGATGCTCACACTCCTTGCCCTGATCTGTTTTTGTCTAACTTTTGTTCCCCTAAATTAATGCTGCTTTGATTTATGTCTTGTTTATAAATAAAGAGAAAAACCATCTGGAAAGTGTTAAGGAGTGGGAGCCACCAGGCCCCTGCTCTCACTCCTTTCCTCTTAACTTTGGCTACTTGTGAGCTGACTGTGAACGAAGGAAAAGCCAGCCCACCCTCTTAAGCTTGCATCTGGAGCTTCAGGTCCTCCTTGCAGGAGCCGATGGCTTCTGTGAGCACAATGCCGTTTCCATCAGGAGAGACGGCAGGCAGGTCTTCATCGCTGCCTTCACCGAGAACTGAGCCCAGCCTCTGCTGGTCCTGTCCTGGAGATGTCTAATAAACCCTTTTCCCTTCTTGAGCTACTGGAGTCTTCTCATTTTTGATTCTAGTATAGAGTTCTTTGAGAGGAAAGCTTACTTCTGGTAAGGCCCCCTGGCTTGCTCTCTGCTTTCCTTAGCAGGGCAGGAAGCAGAGGTGCTCCTAAGGCCTGCAAACCCTAAAGCTCAGGCAGACCATAACTCCTGATCCTCTTGCTTCCAGCTCCAAAGAGCTGGGATTATAGGAATGACACTATTATGTATGAGTTCCCATGAGACAACCTAGTGACTGCTGCTGAACAGATGCCACCCAGCTTACAAGGTCCCCAGATAAGGTAGCCTTGAAAATGCTGTGTGACACAGGTCACAGTACCCTCTAACAGCTGGTGGTAGTCTGTACTTTACTTCCTGATGTTAGGAATCAAACCCTCCACTTTAAGTACTGTTCTACCTGAAGCTATATATGCTCCAGCTAGAAGTTGAAAACAAAAGGGCCAGAACTGAATCTATAGCCAAGATTATGTTGGCCTTTTACTATTTGCTTTGCTCTGATTGAAAGTGGCTACCGAAGGGGGTTGGGGGGAAAGCCGGGCGGTGGTGGCGCACGCCTTTAGTCCCAGCACTTGGGAGGCAGAGGCAGGCGGATTTCTGAGTTCTAGGCCAGCCTGGTCTACAGAGTGAGTTCCAGAACAGCAAAGGCTACACAGAGAAACCCTGTCTCGAAAAAACCAAAAAAAAAAAAAGTGGCTACTGGTAGAAGCACTGTTTAGATTTTATTTTAATTGTGTCTCTGTATAAGTTTGTGCACAGAACAGTGCCTGTGGAGGCCAGGAGGAGGCCCTCAATTCCCTGGAGCTGGAGGTACAGGTGTAGTGGGTTGTCTGAGGTAAATGCTCAGAACTGAACTCTAGTGTTTTGCAAAAGCAAGTACTCTTTAACCTAACTGCCTAGCCATGCCTCCCATATTTGAGCTTTTTTTTTCCTAAGACAATCTTAACTAAGTACCTTTGGGTGGCCTCAAACATCAGCCTACCTCTGCCAACAGAGTGCTGAAATTAAAGGTGTGCCACCACACCCAGACTTTTAAGATGCTGCATTTTAAAACAACTTTCAAGTCCAGCAGTAGTGCGACACACCTTTGGTCCCAACGCTCAAGAGTACAAAGGCAGGTGGATCCCAAGTTTGAGGCCAGCCTGGTCTACAGAGTGAGTTCCAGGAAAACCAAGGCTACACAGAGAAACCCTGTCTCAAAAAACAAAACTTTCAGATACCTGGACTACTTTATCAAGCGTTGGCTGTGGGAGTAGAGTATGTGCCTCGTGAAGTCATTTGTTCCGAGAATGTTTACCTGCCAGCTCCTCTCCATGTGAAATTGTCAGGAAATAGCCACTCCTTCTTCAAGGGTATATTTGTACTCATGTTGTAATCATATTCTGTCAGATCTGATTTCAGGGCAAGCATTTCTATCATCTTCATCTCAGCCCAGCACATACCAGCAGTTCACTGTTTACTGTCAGATTGGAACCAATTCCAAGTTGAAGCACAAGAAGATATCACCATGTTAGCCTGCATGATGGCCTTCCAGATCCTCAATTCAAGGAGAGCTTCAGTCATTCACCTCCATCCAGTGAAGATTGGTAAATGTCCCGCTGTCCATTTTGTCGATGAACAAGCAGCCCTGCAAGTGATCCATCTCATGCTGGATGATTCGAGCTGTCCAACCACTTGCTGACCACACCACTGGCTCTCCTTTTGGGTCCAGTCCTGCAAAGGAAGTTATAGGCCAGCTGAGGCTTTGCTAAATTCATGCCCAACTTCCTGTCCCTATTTTCTGTTTCCTGCCATGGCTACGCCTATTTATATCCTATCTACAAAGGCACCATCCAAGAGTGAATGTGGACCACAGCCCTTGTCCATCCTAGAAAGGATACCTCAGCTTTGTCCAGTGCCAACTTTTTTACTCAGCGTGAGTCCCAGCTCTACTATAGGGCAAAGATAAGAAATCATTAAAACTCTCTTTCAAGTGCTGTTTATCAAAGGTATTTCAGCTTGGCACTGTAGCAAATAATAACCATATTCCATAAACCAAGGTGGACTTTAGGCATGGAATGGCTTGTTGGCCTAGTCTGGGTAAATCTGGGTCCCACTTTCTTACATAAGCCCCCGCCATGACAGATAAACTGGGAAATCGTGTGTGCAATACAGACACACTTATTTGGAAATCTATATACCTACCTATGAGAAAGGGGACAGACAGGCTCCATATCTAAGGAATCTACCCAGTTGGCACCCTGCGACCCATCTAAGTGGGTCTGTCCTGCTCTTCAGGAGTACCGTATGTCAGCCCCGAGTTCCGTGTACTCCCGAGTGCCGCTGTGTTTGCACTGTCTCCAGCCTGAGAGAGCAAGACCACCCTGCTGCCCACGTCTCCTGCACCTGAGATCTGCACGGCCTGAAAGCGAGGCACACACGCCAGAAAGCCGGCGACACTCTCACAGCCCTCGGGGAAGGTGACCAAGCGGCTGTCCAGCACCCTCAGGCTGGGGTTTACCAGCACCCGAAGTGGGAAGGGTTCCATCTGACGCAGCTCGCGCAGGCGCGGTGACAAGGCACGGAAGAGCGTGTCCGGGAACTCGAGCGCCAGCACTTGCAGCGGCACCCCGAGCTGCGGCGCACTAAGGCCCACACAGCGGCGCCGTCGCATCACCCGCACCAGCTGCCCCACCAGCCGCTGCAGCTCCGGCCCCGCCAGCTGCTTGGGTTCCACCGGGGCCGCCACGGCGCGCAGCACCGGGTCCCCGACCTGGCACACGCGCGGGTACGGCGGCTGCGGCGCGCCCCACACGAGGCGCCTCAGGTACCGCCAGTAGGAGCGCGTGCGCGCAGGCCCCTCGAAGCCGGCCCACGAGCTGCAGTTCTGCGCCCGGCTCAGCGGAACCCACGCGGGCAGCCGCAGCCCGCCCAGCAGCGCCATGATGCGGGAAAACGCCGCGGCACGTCCTCCCGCGAGCGCCAGGGACGCCGGGAAGCTGGGAAGCGTATTTCCCACGTGACTTCCGGGCGCCCATCAACCCGAACAGCAGCCAGGTGGCGACAGTCGGTCGGTTTTATTAAAGCTGCCAAATAGCATGGCCACCCCAGCCCGCACCCCGTTATCCTAGGCCAAACAGGCGCCAACTGCACACACCTTCCCTCTGCAGAAGCCGCCGGCAGCGCCGCGCCCTTAGTGCTGCTCCCCAGCCTAAGGCTCCTCACTCGGGGGCTCGGCCGGCAGCGACTCCCCCTCCACGGGCTCCTGAGGCAGCGGTTCCCCTGGTTCTCCCTTCTCTGACCCGCTCTCGCGGGCCGCTGAAGTAACAGGCTCCAGGCTGTGCTGCTCCGTAGGAAGCCCTGGAGCTGGGCCCACGAGGTCCGGCACTAGCTCCTGGTCATCTAAACAGAAAACTGTCTCTCTCTTAGGCAAGATAAAGGCGAGAGGTTCCTGGATCGCGCTGATGTTCACGTGTCCAAGGTTTCCGTACTTGGAGAGCTGGGTGGGTGAAATGCCTGACCCAGATGGTAGGAAAAACGAAATGAAAAAGAAAAAAAAGTTATTAAATTCAATGCAGGAGTCTGGGGAGTGGGGCGGGGCGAAGGGAGGGGACACTCAGAGTAAAGAACTGACACAATTACATATTCCAATACAGCAAGAACATCTTTACTTTTGTGGTTTTTTGATTTTTCGAGACAGGGTCTCACACTATGTAGCCCTGGCTGTGCTGGAACTCTGTAGACCAGGCTGGTCTCTTAACTCAGAGATCATCCTGCCTCTGCCTCCCAAGTGCTGGTATTAAAGTTGTGCCAGGCTGGGGGCATCTCTGTAATACAGAAAGACAGTTATATTGGAGGCCCATTGTAAGGGTGGGCAGGATCAGAGCCAGGAAACACTCTGTAAACACTAGAGTCCAGGGACAGTCCCAGCTATTTGGGAGGCAGAGGCAGAGGCAGAAGGATCTTTGAGTTCAAGGCCAGCCTGGTATACCAAATGAGTGCCAAGATAGCCAGGGCTACATACTGAAATCCTGTCCAGTCTCAAAACAAAAACAAGGGCTAGACATGGCTCTGGTTAAGAGCACTATCTGCTCTCTTAGAGGTCCTAAGTTCAATCTCCAGCAACCACATGGTGGCTCACAACCATCTGTAATGAGGGATCTGATGCCCTCTTCTGACACGCTCACAAGTGTGCATTCAGGTAGAGCACTCACATGCATAAAATAAATACATCTTTTAAAAAGACAAAACAAAAACAATAATAATAAAAGCCAGGCAGTGACAACGAACACCTTTAATCCCAGCGCTCAGGAGGCTTACAGAGTTCCAGGACAGCCAGGGCTTTACAAAGAAACCCCTGAAGAGAAATCCCATATCAAAAAACCAAAAACAAATTTTTAAAAAATCTTTCCTTTTTCTTACCTAAAGTCTGGGCTATCTGAGCTGGTGGGAAAAGGACTTGAAGACAGCGGTTCAAATAAGGAACAAGGTCTTCCAGGAAGGCAGTGCAGAACTGGACAAAGATCTCATGCTCCCCACTGCTGAACACAGCCTCTTCAGCACGATGGAATGCCAGGATTGTTTTGGTTACCTACAAGACAAGAATGCCAAAAATCAACCACAGAGGCGGTGCACTGCTGACTATGTGGAAGGGCACAAGCTTGCAGCATAAAGAAAGTTCATCCTAGCAGGGAGGGGGCTCCTTTAATCCCAGAGTTTAGGGCAGAGACAGGTGGAGCTCTGTGAGCTACAGGCCAACCTGGTTTACAGTGCAAGTTCTGGGACAACCAGGGATACAACCAAGACCCAACACACACAAATTCTGTCTCAAATGCCTTGAAAAACAAAAAACAAAACAAACAAAAAAACCCAAAAACTTTATTCCAAACAATGCATTTGAATTTATTGAAACAATGTGTTTCATTGCTATCTTGTTCAAATTCAACATGGTGGTCAATAGACACAACTGTGTCATTTCACTGGTGGATTTATGACCCAGTGGTTTGTGTTCTGGATGGTTTCCAGTTCTAGTAGATGGAGTGTAATGAAATAATTCAGAAGAGATGCTCTCCTGCTGGCCCTGAGGAAGAAACAGCCATGTTGTGAGCTGACTGTGGCAGATAGCCTCTAGGAGCTGAGGGCCTCAGTTCTGCAGGTTTTCCAATGTCACAGAATGGCACCTGACAAACTGGAATGAGCCTCTAAGAGAACCCAGAACTCTAACTCCAACAGAAGCCTGGACCCAGCTGACACCTTGAATACAGCCTGTGAGACCCTGAGCATAGAACCGCATAGAACCCAGACACTGCATCTGGATTTCTAGCTCATAGACAGTAGCTGATATATGTAAGGGATTTAAAATCCAGCAACATGGCTACTCTGGCTGGAATACAAACACGCCCTTATTACACACCTTTAATCCCAGACGATGAAGGTAGAGTTAGTTTGTTGAAGGAAGTACCCATGTTTGGAATTGAGAGGCAGACAAAGTGACAAATCAGAGAAAGATCTGACAGAACAGGATATACCCAATTCTCACAAGAACAAAGAAAGTCTACTTAAGAGAACAGCAGCTACGGGAGGGGGAAGGAGACGAAGGGAGAGGAGGGAGGGGAGAAGGAAGGGGGAAAAAGAGAGGGAGAGGGCAGTTTTACAGAGAGTGGTACAGAGACAGGTTACAAAGAGAGAACAAGTTAGACACAGGTGAAGACAGACAAGCCAGAGAACAAGGAGCCAGAAGATTAGAATACACTGCCAAAGTTAGTATGAGGACAAGCAGAGCAATTCAATTAGAAGCTAAGAGCAGCCAGTTTGAATCAGTCAATGTGAAGAGGAGTTTTGAGAAGAACAGCTGAGTTGACCAGCAAGCCAGAATTCACAAGAGCTAGAAAGGGTGAGCTTATTCAGCAGTAAGTCCAGAGGCTGAAAATATTCTAGATCTAGATAAGAGTATACAGCTACTAGAAGCTTCCAGGACTAGGCCTAGGTTAGCAGATGTAGACAGTAAGTCTCAGAGAGGACAATTACATCAGGCAAATAAAAGATACTTTTGCAGATACATGTAACTGTTTTAAGCTGCTGAGTTCCTGGGAGTCTGGTCTCAAAACGATGGACCGTGCACACTGATTGACTGCCACAGGTACTCTACCTCATAGCTTCTTCCAGGATCACCCCACAAAGGGTGACCTAACATCAGAAGAGCTCTACCAGAAAAACCTTTAAGATACAGTAAACCTCTCCAAGTCGGCAGACACCATGGTTATATCGACTGGTTCCATACAATAGCTTGGCTGGCTGTTAGCAAGGGCAGCCCAAGGTAGCAGAAAATTACTCACCTTGGTAAGGGCATCTTCCAAGGCCCCAGTCACATCCTGTGCTAGGGCCACAGGGCAACAGAGACGTAAATCATTGAAAGCAACCAAAATGTTGTTGAGGAAGCAGGCAAGAGGCGGGAAGTCTAAGAGCACCATCGGCGGCTGCAGCGTCCCTGGTTGTGTGGCTGGTACTGTAACAGGCATGTTACTGCTGCCCAGGATGGTTGTGGCTGAGATGAGGGTATATGAAGTCATTTCATCCTGGAATTTCTCCACTGCTTCTTCCACTGCTTTCTGGAAAGTGTTGATTGCCACTCGCTGGAAAACAGGAGCCAACTGGCCACGGAAATCAGCCCCAACCCGGCTAAAGGACAACCCAAAGTACATGCACTGGCCAAGCAGAGAGTCCAAGCGGCCACCTATACCCCGGTAAAGGTCGGTCTCTAGCACCTGCAGGAACTGTGAGATTTTCTGCAGCACCCATCCATGGAAGATGGCACTCTCATTCACAGTGTACTCGCCCATGGCAGGTGGCAGCAGGGGGTCCTCATCTGAGAAGATGGCACGGTACTGGGTGATGATATCAAAGAGATGGACCCGGCAAGCCTCAATGGTTTTTGTGATATGGAAATAAGGATCATCATGAGGGATGGCAGTCAGGATGGAGCGAAGCCAAGCATCCCTGGCCTGAAGAAATTTCACCCTCAACTCAGCCTCAGTGAAGACATCCATGCGTCGAAGATAGCCAATGACACGTAGGCAGGCTGGGAGCTGGATGTTGGTCCTCAGTTGTTGGATCAGCTGGCTTAGCATCAGCTGCATGGACTGGCGCACTTCATTCACAATGCCCTGACAATAAACAGAGTCGGAACACTGAGAAAAATACTTTGGAACCCATCCTATTAGCCCTGGACACTGGAAGCCAACATTCTTGTGGCTTTCCTGACAGACAACACGGATTTCTAAAGCTGACACCTGCAGGTTTACAGAGATCTGCTTACATAACTAGTTCTCCTGCTCAAAAATCTCCTAGGATTTCCCATCACAATCAACAAACTACCAACTGTTCATCACGATCCTGATTCTCCAGCTTCATCTGCTTCCTAATGCCCCGGGCTTTCCCATTACAGTCCGACAACAGTGATTGCTTTGGGACCCTGAAACATGCCAATTTCTTCCCATTTTACCCTGTTTTGCTTCTCCTACTTCTTGCTTTGCTGTCTCCCCAGATCTTCAAGTCCTGGTTCTTTCTCATCATTAAGGTCTTGGAAAGGCCGTTCCTGACAATGTCAGAGAAGCAGCGCTAGTAAACCTTGCCAGCTCTCTAGCCTAGTCCCTAGTTCTGCTTGTTTCTGAGATAGAATCTCATATAGCTCAGCAGGCTTGCCTCAAACTGACTAAGCAGCTAAGGATGGCTTTGAACTCCTGATGGACCCTTCTCTCTCTTCCTTCAAAGTACTGAGTTTATATTCATACCCTAACATGCCTGCCTGGCTTTCTCTGGCTTATTTCTTCAGACATTTACCAATCTCTGCAATATTGTTATTTATCAATTACCTTTATCAATTTTCAATTATATTATCTAAGCTTCAGTGAGAATCATGGCCTTGAATGTTTTCTTCACAATGTATTCCTAGTACCTAAGTCAGTGTCTGGCACATGAGTAATAGGATCTTTAAGTGCACCAATATCTTACCTGGCTGGCAGAAAGGGTCATGAAATATGCAAAGGTTTCTATTTAAAAGTTTAGTCACAGTCACAGAATTAAGGACTCTAAGACCATCATCAGCTTGAGGGCCCTCTGGGAAAGCTGGCTACCTGGATCACAGGGATGGAGGAGTACTTCCTTTCCAGTCGCCGTACATAGGCTGCAAGCTCCAGTGCCTCTTCATAATAGCTGTTCCGGACACATGTGTCCATAAGCTGGGGAATCTCTAAAATCTCCAGGATTTCTGTGTGCCGGTTTAGAGTCAGGGTGTTCATCCGGCGGTTGGAGCTGATCTCCTCAGCTTCCTTCACAAAGTTCCTAGAACCAATCAGGAAAACAGTTCCCCATTGTTCTGCACAGTAGTTTGTTACCAAGCACTTATTGACACTGGGCTAGATGGTTTACCTAGTTTATTTAAAATCTTTACCCAGGGCTGGCTGTGGTGGGGTACACCCATGATCCCAGCCCTCCAGAGGTTGAGGCAGACCAGCCAGGGTTACATAGTGAGACCCTATCTCAAACAAAATCCTCACTTCAAACCTACAACTCCTATTATACTTGAAATCACTTTGAACTCAAGGTTTAACAAACTTTTCAAGATCACGTCATTAATTGATGGCTTGCATGGGAGTTGTCATGATGGCTCAGTGGGTAAAGTTGCCTACTGCCTGTCAACAAGCCTGCTGACCTAAGTTCGATCCCCGTGTCCCCCACAACAGAGAGAGAGAACGCAGCCCTATGAGCTGCCCTCTTGACTTCCACATGAACATGGTGGTACCCCCTCTCTCCATGTAATTTTAAAAATGGCTTGTAGATTTGGATTGGTTGCATAGACTGTCACATTTGGGACTGAGCTATTCAAGGTCTCATGAAGAAGGACTGTTATGGCAAGGCACTTGGCTTCTCTAGACTTGTCTTTTCATTGGTGTGAAAGTTAGAGACCGCCAAGATGACACGTACATAGGACCTTACACAAAGTATGGAAAGCATACAGATCCTTTACTAGCTGGAATTAAGGCTGGAGAGGTGGCTCTGCCATCATTGCTCTTGCAGGGACCCAAGTTTAGGTCCCAACAAACATATCTAGTGGCTCACAACCACCTATAATTCCAGTTCCAGGGCATCTGACACCCTCTTCTGGCCTCCTTGGGCACATAAGGTGCACAGACATACATGCAGGCAAGACATTCATACACATTTAAAAATAGCTGTTAACATTTTCTAATCGAGAACTAACCACACTATACGCCATGCTCTTGCCCTGAGACCCCTCAGGTCTTATTGTTATGTGCTGCTATAGAACTTTTGTTCTCCCACTTAAACATTCTCCACTTTTCTACAGTCATTCTAGAAACTAGCTTTACAAAGTCCTGAATCTCTTCTCAGATATACTGCGTACAAAACCTGTTTTTTAATATCCAAGCCTCCAAAGAAAAACTGACCTGCCGGATAGCAGAACTAAGTGTATTAGATTGACGATCTAGAAAGGTAATATACCTTAAATAGGAAAAATTTTTTGACAACCTATAATGTCTCTGGATAGGACTTGTCAGCTTCCTATCAATGGAAGTTTTGAAGCAGAGTGCCTCCAGTCCACATTTATATATGGTCAACTATGTCAGGTTTGTTTTGATACAATGTCTCATGCAGCTCAGGCTGGCCAAGAAGTCAATACTCAGACTAGGATGATGACCTTTGGACTCAAGTACTGGGATCACAAGTGTCAACAAGACTGGCTAAATTTTTATTATTGAATACAACAGCCTATGAGGGAGTAGTGGAATCCTGCCTTCCAATTCTGACTTGGAAACTTACTAGCTGTGTTCTTGGACAAGTCACTTCACTTCGACTTCCTCGTCTGTCAAATGATGACGATACCTACCTAGATGGCTGTTGTGACGTTTAAGTGGATTAATAAGGCAATCAGGAGAGAGCTCTGTGCACTACGTATGGGTCAGCTAGCGTCCTGTCAGATACAACTATGCGCCTCTCAGCATTAGGCCAGCCGCACCTGCAGCTCTGCTGGAAGCTGGGCAAACGGTCGAGCAGGTGACCGAGGGACGCCTCCACGTCGCCAAAGAGACGGTGAATACGCTCGGTGCACTCGGCACCGCGAATGAACGTCTTGTAATTGGCGAAGGCCAGGTCGCGCGTCTGCTGCAGCAGCTGGGCCCGCTCCTCCGCCAGGCGCTCCGGTTCACGTCGCAGCCGGTCCAGCCCCGAGCCGCTCAACTCCCGGAGATAGCGGCCCACGTCAGGTTTCTCACGCCATTGGGCCTCAGGGAAGCGGTCTCGGAACAGCGACGCCAAGAGTCCTTCATCTTCCACCTCCCCCAGCGCAGCTGCTGTAGCTGTCGTCGTGGCCGAAGCAGTCGTGGAGGGCTGGAGCGGGAGAGCAGTCGCCATCTTTCCACAGTACAGTCACTTCCTTTCCAGAACCGTGTTTTGCTCCTGGAAACGGAAACAGTTGGGAAACACTTCCTGTCTCTATGGTTTCTAATCTAGCCGGTTTTCGGTCCCTAGAAGTCCGCCAAGGTAGGTGGCGCTAGCCCAAAGAACACGTAGAATTAGGCTAGAGAGGCATGCTTTGGTGTGTCCAGGAAGTGGGCGAGGTGGGGGTAAAGTGACTTCCGCTTCCGGTTCTCCAGGCACGAGGGTCTCGAGAGCCAAGCTAGCGGGAAAATGAGGCCTTTGACTGAAGAAGAGACCCGGGTAATGTTTGAGAAGATTGCGAAATAGTAAGAAGCCGAGAGGCGGATGAAGGACGGGCGTGCGGGGCGTGGGGATACGGCACTGGGTCGGGACAGTTCCTGCTCAGCTGCCAGTCTTCTTTTTACCCTCAGCATTGGAGAGAATCTACAACTCCTGGTGGACAGACCCGATGGCACCTACTGTTTCCGGCTGCACAACGACCGAGTGTACTATGTGAGGTGAGGCGGGGTTTGGTGCTCTCTGTGTATCGGGCTGGAGGCCTGCATCCATCAGTGGCCGTCAGCGGGTGGTACCTTCCTCCCTCGCCCTTGCAGTGAGATGATCCTGAAACTGGCCGCCAACATCTCCGGAGATAAGCTAGTGTCACTGGGGACGTGTTTTGGAAAGTTTACTAAGACCCACAAGTTCCGGTTGCACGTTACAGCTCTGGATTACCTTGCACCCTATGCCAAGGTATGTACGTGGGGCTGGTCTCCATTTTGCCATCCAGAATAAAGTCATGGATGACGGCCAGGTCAGAACACAGAGTTTTGCTTTGTTTTCGAGACAGGGTTTCTCTGTGTAGCCCTGACTGCCCTGGAATTCACTCTGTAGACCAGGCTGTCCTCGAACTCGGAAATCCGCCTGCCTCTGCCTCCCAAGTGCTGGGATTAAAGGTGTGTGCCACCACTGCCCGACCAGAACACAGATTCTTTTCCATTGAGTTTCTAACAGTGTTAGCACAAGGAGATGTTTGTAGGTATTACTGTTTGGAAATGTTTAGGAAGGATTATGGCTCTGAGAGGGCCGTGGAGCTGCATTACCTCGTTGTCTACAGGAAAACAGGCCTCCACGGTGTCATCTGGTATCAGAAAACAGAGACAAGTGGCAGTGGTGTAGATGATCCTAGGGTCCAAAAAAAGGAAGTTAAGCTGTCTATTATGTAAATCGTTTATAGCGTGGTGAGCGTTTCGATGTAAAGTTGAGGAGGGAACTCCATGGTGAAAGATCAAAAATTGGGGTCCAAACAACCTGTCCGTCTCCCGGCCTCTGCATAACTACAGAAGCAGCCACAAATCCACCTACGGGGATCTAACCTAGCGTCTTTGTCTCTTGGTGTTTAACTCTCTTTCAGTATAAAGTATGGATAAAACCTGGAGCAGAACAGTCCTTCTTGTATGGAAACCATGTGCTGAAATCCGGTCTGGGTCGGATTACTGAGAACACATCTCAGTACCAGGGAGTAGTGGTTTATTCCATGGCTGACGTTCCTTTGGTGAGTAGCAACGGTAGCCAATGCCGAGTACCTGCTGAAAAGGATGTAGTTTCAGTCAGCACCTCTGAGGCTGACTGCTTGGCCCCCTTCACATTTCTCAAAGATACAACTGTCTCAGCATAGTTTTTGTTTTGTTTTTTGCTTTGTAAATGAGTGAGTTAGTGTCTGTTCTTTCGATTCCAGGGTTTTGGGGTGGCAGCAAAGTCTACCCAAGACTGCAGAAAAGTGGACCCCATGGCAATTGTGGTGTTCCATCAAGCAGACATTGGGGAGTACGTACGCCACGAAGAGACACTGACTTAGGATGCTCATCCCAAGAACATTTTGCTGTGTGAGAGGACCTAGCTTTGTTTCCTGTGTGCAGACCGTCATGTTAAATCTGGATGACACTGAGATATGCAGCTTGGATCCTTATCAACAGAAGTAGCTCAAAAATAGGGTTTCTGGCCCTCTAGAGGCAAAGGCAGGTGGGTCACAAGTGTAAGGCCGGCACAGGCTACTTGGCAAGTTCAAGACTAGCCTGGGCTACATAGTGAGACTTGTCTCAAAAAACAAACAAACAAACCAGACCCTGTGAGTGTCTGAGTAAATAGAGTGTTTCTGTTTTGTATCTGCGTCATCCTTGTTTGAGTCAGACTTGTTCTGAGTGATGGTTTCTAAGTTACTTCACTGAGGACAGGAGTGATCTTACTGTTATCTGTGATAACACTGTTTTCCAGGCTCATAATAGCACAGTAGACTTTCTATTGTTAATTAATATTAAAGGTAGAAACAGCTATATAAGGATAGTAGGCCATGCCTGTGGTTTTACATATGGAACAGTTTTACATTTATTTTTTTACTTTATATGTGTGAATGTTTTGTCAGCATTTTGTTGGCATGTCTGTGTGTGCACTGCATATGTGCCTGGTGCCCAAAAGTCAGAAGATGGCTTCCGATCTCCTGGAACTAGAGTTACTGGTTGTGAGCCACCATGTAGGTGCTGAGAACAAACTCGGGTCTTCTGAAAGAACAGCAGTGCTCTTAACCACTGAACCATCTTTCCAGCTCCTAATAAATCTAATAAATGCAGTTTGTCTATTTTTCTTTGCGGTATGCGGTGTACAGTGTGCAAGAGTCTGTATTCAAGCCTCAGTTCTGTCACCCGCCAGCTGTGTGCTGTTGGACAAGTCACTCTGCTTAGAGAAGCTTCATTTTCTTCCTTTGTTAAAAGAAAAAACTTGCCGAAAAAGAAAAGAAATCCACCTGCCTCTGCCTCCCAAGTGCTGGGATTAAAGGCGTGTGCCACCACTGCCCTGCAAAAGTATGCTCTTTAACTTCTGAGCCATCTTCTCTATATTGAAGTATTTTTGTTACTTTTTTTTTTATTAGAACAGGTTCTATGTATCCCTGACAGGTTTAGAATGTGCTGTGTAACCCAGGCTAGCCTAAAACCCAAGTCCATCTGATTCTGAACTGTTGGGATTAAATGGGTGTGCTACCATACGAGGCTCAACTCCCCCTACCTCCCCCCCCTTTTTTCCTTTTAAGACAGGGTTTCTCTGTAACCCTGGCTGTCCTGGAGCTCACTCTGTAGACCAGGCTGGCCTCGAACTCAGAAATCTGTCTGCCTCCCAAATGCTGGGGCTAAAGATGTGCCCCACTATGCCCAGCTTCAGAATGATTTCTTAATATACTATGTGTTTTTGTCAATTTAGGGAGCATTTTTATTTTTTGAGATAGGGTGTCACATATCTTAAGTTGGTCTGAAACACTGTGGGGCCCAGGCTGTCTTAGCCTCTCGAGTGATGGTATCATAGGTCTGTTACCACACCAGTTTCCAGTTTTAAAGTAAAATATTTCTAACCGCTGAAGGGCACTTTAAACTCTAAAACATTGTCTTTGTCTTGTTTTCAGCTCTTCTTTCAGAGCTTTCAGCTTACTTTGAGATATGGCCTTGAACTGGCTGAGGCTGCTCTTACTGTTTCTTCCTCAGGAGTGCTAGATTTCAGTCCGATGTATGGTGGTGCCAGGGATCAAAGCCCAAGCTGCATACAGAGCAGGAACTCTTACTGAAGAACCCCTTCCAGGGTTCTCTACTAACTTCTACGTGAAGGCTACGTCAGTGAAAGTTAATGGACAGCTGTATAAAGATCGGGTGTTTAGCTCGAGGATGGTGTTAACACACCTTGCCAGCAGTGGGGATGCAGAAGCAAGTGAATCTCTTTAGTTTGAGGTGAGCTGAGTCTACCCAGCAAGTTCTAGGCTACCCAAGGCTACATATTAAAACCCTGTCTAAAAAAAATTGGTACTTTTAACTTTTAGCATTTAATACATATTTTAGAACAATCAGCATCAGAACTCACTTTTTATTACTGCCATTTGCCTTTATTGATGGGCACAAGAGAAAGGGGATTTAAATTGACTTTTTTCCCCAATAACTTTCCAAAGCCGATTTGATTAAAGCTTTGACAAATCTGCTCTGTGTTAGCATCTTGGCTTCTTTGTGTCAGTAGTTGAGACAGTGAAAAGACGTTTCAAGAAATAGAGCTGGAGGACCCCAGAAAGAATGATAGCAAGGCTCTGAGCTGTGGACCACCAGTTGACATAGGTGTAGTTAGACTGCAGGAGGAAAAAGTCGGCCACCTTCCTCATCCTGGCCGAGTTGTAGAAGCGCCACATGTGGAAAACATGGTTCTGCACTTTTCGTGTGCTGTCCTGTGGGAAGAAGGAAAGCCACTCTGGCTGCTGTTTGGGTCTCACCTGCCCTGATCTAAGTGACCTATGTCACTCAGGAGTCTGAGAAACAGTACTACAGCAATTACTAATAAAGGGTACTTTGGCTGTATTTGGGAAAAAAAAATTCTGGAGTAATTTTAAAGTTGGGAGGCATGGGTTGGGGCTTGGGATGTACCCCAGTGGTCAGAAGGATTGCCTAGTATCCACAAAACTCCCTGTATCCTAAACACAATAGCCTTGCACATTCAAGGTAAACATTCCTACTGAGCTATTTCTCATGTAGCCCAAGCTGGCCTCAAACTCAGTGTGTAGCTAAGGATGACTGTGAATCCCGTATCTCCTGCTCTGTCGAGGTTACATGTATAAACCTCTATCGAGATGTCTAGATCTCTTGATCAAGATGTGTTCAACACCTCATCACCCTCCTAACAGATACCTTGTTCCTGCAGACTCTTGTTAGGCTTATGAGAAATGTCTTTGGCAAGATGTCTCCTGCAGCCGGGCGGTGGTGGTGCACGCCTTTAATCCCAGCACTTGGGAGGCAGAGGCAGGTGGATTTCTGAGCTCGAGGCCAGCCTGGTCTACAGAGTGAATTCCAGGACACCCAGGACTACACAGAGAAACCCTGTCTAAAAAAAAAAAAAAATGTCTCCTGCAACTACCAAATACAAAACTTTGTCATGGTCGCACAAAAGCTGCCATAAATGATGGGTAGGTGTCAAACAAACATAGCTCTGTTCCAGTAAGATTTAGGTTTACAAAACAAAAGCTTTTGTGTGCCAAGGAGGCAGAGTGATGGAAGAAAGCATCTACAGATCACAAAGTGTACCCAGAATGTAAAGAAAACTCTTACAAGGAGTGTTTAAGAAAAAGATGACCTTCCCCCAACAGCTAACACTTTTTTGTGAGGGAGGGGGTTGGTGCTTATACATACCAGGCAAGGGCTAGCTAGTACTGAGTTACATCTCCAGCCCTGGGCAAAGGATTTGAGTAGATGTTTTCCCAAAGAAGACACAGGGTCAATAAGCATATGAAAACATATTTAGCCTTTCTGCCCTCCCGCTGGACTGGTAAGCAGGCAGAGCCTCAACATGCAGAGCTATATCAGGGAATTCTGGACTTGTATGTGCAGTGGAAGTGCTCTGAGAGCAGCCAGATCATCAGTGCCAAGGACCACTTGTCCATCCAGATAAATGTGATTGAGGCAGACAACGTCACAGCTGGTTTAATGGCTAAGTTAAAAACTATACTATGTGGGGGCCACTCAGGATGGGCAAGTAAGTTGATTCTATTCTCTTACTAGCTTAGACTGATGAGATTGTCTCAAAAACCTTTTAACCGGAAGAGATCTGGAAAATTTGTCATTAAAAAAAAAAAAAAAAAGTGAGAAAGTTGAAAAAAGAAAGATGCTTATTTTTGTTTGGTTTTGGTTTTTCAAGACAGGCTTTTTCTGTGTATCACTGGCTGTCCTGGAACTTGCTCCATAGACTAGGCTGGCCTTGAACTCGGGAGATCTGAGTGCCTCTACCTCCCAAGTGCTACATATGCATAAGCATACACATAAGCATAAATTTATGAGTACCACATACCTGCAGGAACTGGAATTATAGGCCCTTGTAAGCTGCCTGACATGGGTGCTTGGCCTTGAACCTGGGTCCTCTTGGAAAAGGAGAGAGCTCTTAACCACTGATTCGGCCATTAATCTTTATGGCTTTATTGCAAATTTATTTTTATAGCAGTTTATTGATCTTTCCACTAATAAGAATGCTTAAGTGTAAATCAAAGCAGAAGATACTATTGCACACCCAGCAGGACAGCTATCATCAACAATAATACTTTAGGATGGATAGAAATTAGAATCTTCATAGCTGCCTAAAGGCCTTATCCACTACAGAAAACTGGCAGGTAGTTCATACAAAACTAAACAGTTTGAATCATGCCCAGAAATTCCACTTGTTGGTACTTGAAAAGAAAACACAAAAGCTTGTTTGCAGATATTATCACCAGCACTGTGAGAGCCAAGGGGTAGAAACTCAAATGCAGTCAGCTGGTGAGTCACCAACAAAACTGCACTTATTCAGTTAAAAGTAAGGAACCAAGGACCAGCCAGAAGGGTCCAAGCAGACTATGTAAATTAGGTGTGATAGCTTGGGTCTATAATCTTAGCACTCAAGCTGAGGCAGGAGGATTGCTGCAAACACAAGGCCAGTCTGAGCTACAGAGTGTGAGACTGTTTTTAAAAAATGAAGCCAGGCAGTGGTGGTATATACTTTTAATCTCAGCATTCAGGAGGCTGAGGCAGGTGGATCTCTGTGAGTTTGAGACCAGCCTGGTCTACAAAGCAAGTTCCAAGACAGCCATGGGTACACAGAAAAACTGTCTTAAAAAAAAAAAAAAAAGGAATCAGACTAGGCGTGGTGGTACATGCCTTTAATCAGCACTCTCACTCAAGAGGGAAATAGGTAGATCTCTGTGAGTTCAAGGCCAGCCTGATCTACATAATGAGTTCAGGCCAGGCAAGACCAGATAGTAAGACCTTGTCTCAAATAAACAAAAACCATGCTTTGTGAAAGAAGCGACCCTATAAAGCCACAAGCATGATTCTGTTTACAGAAAATCTACAGGAACAGTACAACAGTGCTTCTAGGATTAGGAGATTCTAGAGAGAATGGGGGCGCTGAGGAAAGAAACTCTATGTAGAGTGTCTTGCGGGGACACTGGATTGTTGTGCTTTAAGTACTAGGGTAGCGGCACAAGTTTGTGAATGTATATTACAAACAGGCCGTGGACTAGATGATCTGTTAGCCATAGTTTGCCCAGGCCTTGGTACCAGAGGAGCGCCATGTCATGCCACATTATGATGAGTGAAAGGCTCAGCTCTTTCTACCTCTTTGGTTTTTATTTTGAGTCCTCCCTCATTCAGGGTGACACCCCCAAGAACACCAATACCATTACCTCGATGGCATCCAGAGTATCGTTCAGCTGTTTCCTTTGACTCTGCTTATGATCCATCCCGGGCCCCTCATAGAAGACTCCGAAGTTGAGATACACTTGTATAGCACTGAAGCGGTTCTGCTCATTTTTCAGACAAAGCTGATAGAAACCTGTCGGAATCCCTAGATCTCATTAGCGGGTCCTCAGTGCCCCACACTGTCTCACACTTCCCCATAGACATAACTGTTCACCAGTTTAGTTTATTTTTTAATTTGAGGCAGGGACTCACTAAGTAGCTAAGCCTGGTCTCGAACCCAGAATTCTCATGCCTCAGCCTTTGAAATGCTGGGATGAGGGTCACGCACTACTACTTTTCGTTTGTTCTCTGGTTTCAAATTGCTACTACAGCAGCTGCTTATTTAGGAAGTAACAAGCCCATTTTTGATGCAAAGTTTTTACCAGCAACTAAATATTGCAACTACATTTTGCTAAGTGGTAACTCCTATATTAGATATAAAAAAAATGTTTTTCTCTTCCAACACTAATTCTTACTTTGCTTTTTGCTTTGTCTTGAGATAGGGTCTCATTATGTAGCTATGGAGACCAGCATGATGGTCGGAGTGAGAATGACACCATAGGCTCATATATTTAAATGCTCGGTCTCTAGTTGAGAGAACTGTTTTGGGAAGGGTTAGGATGTGTGGCCTTGTTAGAGGAGGTGTGTCACTGTAGGTGGCAGAGTATCTCTGTTTAAGAGTCCTGGTTGTCCTGGAACTCACTCTGGAGACCAGGCTGGTCTCGAACTGACAGAGATCCGCCTGCCACTCCCTCCTGAGTGCTGGGATTGGAGGCTATTGCTACCATTCCCCAGCCCTTATTTCTCAATTTCATAGAAATAAATGTATGACGATTAGTATAGCTTTGGAGATGCATACATACCTGTCTCTTGTGTTGCAAAGTTAATCTGGCCCCGTACATCCTGGGAAGTGTCAATAAGGAAACCCTGTGGGGTATGTGCTGTGGCAACAATGTGGCGGTCATGTGACATTCCGAGAATGCGCTGAACCTTCCGTCACCATGAAAAAAGAGAGAAAGGTCCCTACTACATCACCCAGACACTAGCAAGGTGGTAAGACTGATGCTGTATCTCAAGTATGAGGCCAGTGCCTGGGCTACATGAGACCCTGTTTCCCAGAGAGCCCCCACAATCTAAAAAAACCAACTGAAGTTACCTCTAACTTTAATATTAAGCTCCTTGGGTGGCATAAGGCCCTTTGGGTGTTCTTGCCCAAGGGATAGGCATCTTCCAAAAAGAAATAGAATTGTCTGGTTGCATAGACAAGCATTGAGCTGGTTATTCTCCAGGTTGCTAGGACAAACACAAGCAGGAGACCTGACACTGTTCTCACCCCATTAACTGAAGCGATTTCATTTGAAATCTACTATGGGACTCTTACTTTTCTGTCTCTCTGTCTCTGTCTCCTTCTCCTTTCTTGACAGGTTTCTCTGTGTAGTGCTAGCTGTCCTGGAACTCACTCCTAGACCAAGCTGGCCTTAAACTCAGAGATCCCCTTGCCTCTGCCTCCTGAGTTCTGGGACTAAAGATGTGCGCCCCACAATTGTGTGACTATTTTAGCAAGTGTTGTCTTTCCTCATATCAGAGGAAAGGTGAAGGTTGCCTCTCCTGAAGGAGCCTGGTTTTGTTATTGACTTGTAGCTTCCAGTTCTAGACCAACCCATGTTTGAGCTCCTGGTGCTGGCTATTCTGTTCATCTAAGTCTCACCCGGGGTTGCTCTCTGAAGGCCCATTTGATTCACAAGTGACAGCCACAGTCTCATGGAGAACCAGACTTTGGCTTCATCAAAAGTCGGACTCACTTTATAAAAGGTATGGCCAGAGGCCTCCACGCACCTCATAGCTGAAGTAGAGGTAGCCCATCTGGTCAGCAAATTGCCAGAAACATTCTGTCTCTCCTGGATTGACCACAATGGCAAAGTCATTTCGATCAGCTCCTCGGAAGAATGGCTGGTCCTTGGAGCCATGTAGTGGATCTGTCTCCTGGCTCCTAGCAGAGGTCACTAGGCTCAGAACCACCAGTTCGGCCACAAGGAACAAAGGGAACATGCTGCCTTCTGTGGAGTCTTCTACAGGTTGAGTTGCTCACAGTCCTGTGGAAAAGAAGTCAGACAAGCATCCGGCTAATCATTAACCCCACAAGCCAGTTAGGACTGCATTACAGGTGCCACGCACCACAACCCCCTCCCCCAACGTGTTGACCCACAGAAGGATTTTGCTTTCATCTCAAGAAGTAGCTTGCCAGATCTAGATAACGGGCGAGAGAAAAAGTACTTAAGCAGAAGAGAGCTAGCCATCCACCCATCCATTCTTGGAGGTATATTGGTGGATGTACATCGGCACACCAGAAGAGGGCATCAGATCCCATGGGACTACAGTTATAGAGGGTTGTGAGCCGACGTGTGGGTTCAATTCCAGTCACCCAGGACCTCCAGAAGAGCAGCCAGTGCTCTTAACCACTGCACCTCTCTCCAGGCTGGTCTTGAACTCAGAAATCTACCTGCTTTTGAGTGCTGAGATCAGAGACATTTGCTACCACACCCAGCTATATAAAAAATTTAATGTATGAAGTGCTGGCTACTTTTCTGTCAACTTGACACGAGCTATACTCATCTGAGAGGAGGAAGCCTCGATTGAGAAAATGCCTCCATAAAATCAGGCTGTAGGCAAGCCCATAGGGAATTTTTCTTAGTGATTGATGGGGAAGGGCCCACTCCATTGTGGGTGGGGCCACTCACAGGCTGCTGGTCCCGGGTTCACCCTCACAGTACTGTCACCTACCATTAGTGTTGGGGACACACACAGACCTGAGTGGCTCATGGTCCCAAAGGGATAGCTGGCATAGCTAGAATCTTGACGTTCTAAGATGGTTTCTAAATTCTGACTCCTGTAATTTTGTGTGTGTGTGTGTGGGGGGGTGTTAAATAGGCTCTCATAGTGTAGCCCGAGATGGCCCAGCATCAGCCCAAGAGGCTAACATTTTTATTTTAGCAAGTCTATGATGGTTTGAGTAATAAATGCTGCTGACAGTCTCAGGCATTTAATACTTGGTTCCCAGTTGGTGGTACTGTTTGGATAGGTTTATAAAGTATAGCCTTGCTGGAAGAAACATGCTGCTAGGGATGGGCCTCTCCTAGTTTCTCTGTATTTTAATTATTTTTTTTGATACTGGGATTCACTCTATCCTGGAGTTCACTATGTAGATCAGGCTGGCCTGTCTCTGCCCACCCAAGTGCTGGGATCAAAGTCATGCACCACTCTGCCCTGCTCTCTCTCTGCTTTGTGCTTGTCATTCAAGATGTGAACACCGAGCTTCTGCCCCAGCTGCCATGTCTGCTGCTTGCTGCAATACCTTCCTGCCATGATGGCTTCCCTCTCCTCTAGAACCATAAGCCCAAGTTAACTCAAGGAAGTTGCTTAGGTCATGCTGTTTTACACCAACAGAAAAGAAATTGATAAAGTCTTTAGGAAACAACTTACAGAGTTGGGCAGTGGTGGTGCACACCTTTATGTCAGCACTCGGGAAGCAGAGGCAGGTGGATCTCTGTCAGTTTGAGGCCAGCTTGGTAATCTGTCTTGCTGTAATCACAGGAGTCAGGTCCTTTAATATCGAAGCTTCGGGTCGATAAGTGACTCATGTAGGAGGTAGAGGAGTCGATGCTGAGAACTAATAGCTTAGGGTTAATAAAGGCAAAGGGGGGGGGAGGAAGGGGGCTGCTGTGCAGTCACACACAATTGGTTGTTTCAAACATCTGTAATGTGTGTAAGCAGATCTCACGAGAACTGTCCCTGGTTTCTGTGGCCTTGGGACCCAGTGTGAATGTTTATCTGAGCCAGCTCACCACCTGGCAGAATTTAATTTGCAAGTCCTTGGGACCTTCGGTGGGAGTTTTTCCAGGGAAGGCTAAAACATCACAGCAACAGATGGATGTTTCAATAATGTTCTGATTCTTAAGGAATTTACCCTTGGGCACTTTCCCTATCCCTTCACAGCCAGTGGATCTTTGGAGCACTCAATTGACCTTTGTTTCCCTGCATCTTTTGTGAAGGCCTTGGGTTAGCAAGTTAGCTGACTTGTTATTCTTAACTATTTGTATTAGTGAATTAAGACTTTCTGTTATACTATTTAACTAACTTAAAATTCCTTTTTCATCCCCACTTCTACTGAATAATTCTAATCTTAGAATTCCAGGTTCACGCTCAGTTTTATCTCATTCTAAAGGACTCATATTCTGCCTTGTCAGGATCTCTAATTGATTGGTACTGTTGTCTAAGTACCATCAGTTGAACAGCACCAGTTCGATTGTTAATAAGGGCAAGTAATCTTTTTGCCACACACGGGCCAAGAATTAAAATCAGGCAAATCACTAGCACTGGTCCAGTTAAAGCAGAAAGTAGAATAGTATAAGCCAGGATCTAAACCCACCTTGTTGATCTTCTCTGTCTGTCTTTTATCTAGTCTCTCTCTGAGTCTGCATAGAGTCTCTGACCATTCCAGTGTGGTCTGCATAGAAGCAACTCTCTTCTCTGAGGGCAGCACAGAGCCCACCATCTCTTAAAAACAGTAAATCTAATTCTCTCCTATTTTGGAGCACTACTTCTGACAAGGATGTCAAAGATTTTTCTAAGTTGGTAATGGACTTTTCTAATATTTTTAGATCTTCATCAATAGTGGTACTGAGAGCGTTTAGGCCTTGTTGTCCGGTGGCTAAGGCTGCAGTTCCTGTCCCTATTCCAGCAGTAATGCCAGCTCCCAGTAAGATAGCCAGAGAAAGGGATACAGGCTCTCTCTTGTACGTCCTAGGCCTAAGATCCAATTCATTTTCAAGACTATCAGCAGTATGGTAGTAAATCCTGGGGACTAACTGTATTAATACACAGAAATCTGTAGTAGGTTCAAATACACTTGTAGATACACAAGGAGTGAGTCCAGTGTTGCATGCCCACCATCGGTTGGGTCCGGGTACCAAATAATAGGTGGCAGCCATTTTAGGGCTAATAACTGTCTGATTACACAAATGTTTGTGTGTGGCAGGCGGGGTACCTAGACAGAGTCCTGATCTTGTCCCCGATACCTCTGTCAGGGTTAATTTCATCTCAGTTCCCCATGTGCAAGAATGGTGGGAGGTTGTGTTAATAAAGGCACCAGTCATAGCAATCCCCTCATAATACGGGGGTGTCATTGTCAAACACAGCCAGCAGGACTCCGTAGAGTCCGGATTTGTATCGTTTAAAGCATGGAGAAAGCCCCAATAACTAAATTAAACAGTCTCTGTTCAGTCGAAGGATCCAGGGGCAGGGTCAAGGGGCTTTGAGAAGTAATGAGGGCACAGGTAAAACAAGTATTGGAGCCAGGGGCTTGGTAGATGGGCCCTGCTCCGGAGGAACTTTGTCAGGTCCTAAAGGCACTGCTGTGGGGAGGCTCTCAAGGACCAATCTAATTCTAAAAGTCAACCCAGGGTCTTTCCCTGCAGCATCTATGCATAGTAATCCCCAGTTGTTTCCTCTAAGCCAACTCTGATGGTCTTGTTTACCTTTGTCTGTGAATTTGATAACTATGGGGTTACAGTATCTTCCTTTGCAAGGTCCATGGGGTGTGCATGACGTGCTTAGCCGCTTTCACGATATTTGTACTGATCTCTCTCTTCCTGGTGCAATTTGTCATATGTACTGTTTCTCTTTACCGTGATTAGTTCCCAGGTGGAAGATGGGTTCCAGTGGGCCTCACCAGTGGTTTCACAACCCCATGCAGCACAATAAAAGTCAGAGGCCACCCAAACTTGTGTCGAAGTTTCAAACTGTGACCCTGACCAGGGCAGACATAAAATTCTGAGGCCCGGAGATTGGCCCAGTAGAACTGTCCTGAGCACCCGAGTCCTCTGCCCCTTATCCCTTTTGGGACACACTGTTTTTCATTTGGTGGCTTAGAAAGATCTGAATGATTGGGGAGGTCCCAGGTGAGCAACCCAGCCACGAACTTCAGATATCTGGGGTTAGATCTAGCCACTAAGTCCAGGGGGAGTGCACTGTGGTAACTGATCAGACAGTGTTCCCCTCCTCATTGATCACCTCCCAAGTCTGTTGTATTGGGGCATGGGGGTTGTTGCCCTGACTCAGAGTCGTGCCTGCGAGGCAGACGCAACTTAAGAGGATTATCAGTCTTTTCCAGTGTCCACTCATCCTGGTGCAGGTCTGGGAGAGCCCTTTTCACGTGGGATGCGTATATCTAAGCGGCGATGCTGTCCACCTTCACCGCTGTGGGAGTAGTCAACAGGACTAAATAGGGTCCTTTCCACCAGGGTTCAAGGTTTCCTGTCCGATGTCGTCTCACCAGCACGGCATCTCCGACCTCAAATCGGTGTGGCACTGCGTCTTTTCCAGGGGCATAGGCATCTTTCAATTGCTCCCAGATCTCTTTCTTTACAGTTTCTAGAGCCTTTAAGTGGGCTAAGAGGGGAAGGGGAGGAACATATTTGTCAGCAGGAGGAACATATTTGTCAGCAGGTCGGCCCCAGCTCTCTAATGTTTCTTAGATAGGAGGGGGAGACCCATACATAATCTCAAAAGGAGTGAGTCCAGCGACGCCAGGGATGTTTCGCATACGAAACAGGGCAAGAGGGAGTAAAGCTGTCCAATCACCCCTGCCGGTCTCTAAGGTCAATTTTGCCAAGGTCTCTTTTATAGTTTTATTCATTCTCTCTACCTGTCCTGAGCTCTGGGACCTATAAGCACAATGTAATTTCCAATTTATCCCCAGTTGTCTGGCCAGTCCCTGACTCACCTGGGCGTTGAAGGCAGGCCTGTTGTCTGACCCAATTACCTTTGAAACGTCAAACTGAGGCAGAATTTCTTCCATAATCTTCTTGGCCACTACATTAGCCATTTCTTTCTTGGTGGGAAAAGCCTCTACCCATCCAGAAAAAGTATCTATAAAAACTAGCAAATATCTGTTACCATATCTGGCAGGCTTTACTTCAGTAAAATCAACTTCCCAATAGGAACCAGGGCTATCTCATCACAGCCTGGTCCCTTTGAGATTTTTTTTAGATCCAGCATTTGTGAGTGCACATGCTTGAC